TTCACCTTCTCTTTTTTTGCTTATTTTTTGAGGATATCTTGTCCTCTACATTGTATTACACTCTTTATTCCTTTCTATAGTAAAATTTCTTCTTTTAACCAAAAAAAAAATCTAATTATAGTGAGGGATAAGCATACTACCGAGGGAAAAAAGGACATTGGTGATCTCTTGGAGAAAAATGAATTGAAGACTTACATTGGGCTCAAAAAAGTATATGTTAATTAACCATCTACTCCAAAAGTTTAGGTTGTTGAAGAGGGTGTAACTTATGTATTTATACTTCAACATGCCTTCTCCTGTGCATGCCAGATTTTGGGTCTAGCATATGAAAATCCTTTAATAATTAGGGTGACGACAAGATTCGAATGCAGAATTTCTTGCTTTAATATCATGTTAAACAACCATCTACTCTAAAAGCTTAAACTGGTGGAGAGGGTGTAATTTAAGTATTTATACTTCAACAGTATAGTGTACCCATGTGTTATTGAGTTAGTTGCATTCTCGAACTTCAATTCTAGCATTTCTTACTATTACTCTTGTAATCGATAATCCAGCTGTCACGGTTTAAAGTATCGGTTGAGTCCGATACAACTCGGCTGTGTTGTATCCGCCTAGGTAGCCACTGATACAATATCGATACGCACTATAGAAAAATCACGAGTGTCGTTTGACTCGGTTCCGGGCAAAAGAGAGTGTAGAAGATTACCCACAATTTTCAAGAAACACCCAAAAGTTAAACAAATCAAGTAATCGAAAAAATTAGCAGGACTAATATTAAGTCACGGAAGAATCGCCTTACTTAGTCTCCCCAACTGCTGCTTCTTCTCTGGATAGTAGAGACCCATCACAATTACCCTAGATCTCTAGTATTAGAAACCCATCGCGAAGCTTTGATATCTAATCTCTATCAATCCGTCTGTCGCTCGTGCTCGCTCTCTCTCAACTCTTCAATTCGCCCTCCTTTTTTGTCTCGACTAGGACTTGTGTAAGAGAAGTTTTGAGAGTGAGCTACCACTCATGCACCGACAAGGACCCGCAACTCTCGAAGGGGCAACCAACTGCCCGAATCACTATAGCAAACCCCCATTTTAATCGATGGATAGTGTTTATTCTCTTTAAATCAACAAAATGAGAAATGGGGGAGAAAGAAAAGAAAGAGAGAAAGGGGTCTTTATTGAAGATTCTTTGAACCTGAAATAGGACTAATGCAGCTTTTGGGGGCGGGTGTGCTTGGTCGCGGGTGTGCTTGGTCATTGGGGTTTCTCTTTCCTCGATTGTTTGTTAAGGGTGTTCAGTTCCTTAGGTATTTGTACAAACCAATAGATGGAGTGCAGGTGGTCACACTTCACTTACCTTGAAAAGTCAACGAGATTTTCAGCAAGATCTTTAAATCATATAGATTGAGATTGAGACCTCTTTTTCCCAATACCCCTCTTCAACTCTCTCGCTTTCTCTCTCTCAAATCCTAAACCAAGGCCCAAAATATAACACCATTGCTTTTTTCTTTCTTTCTTTCTTTTTTTTTTTTTTTTTTTTTGGGTCTTAAACTCTTATCTTTGTTTTCTTTATTCCCAATTCCATTGTGTAGATTTCATTTTATGTTTTTTGATGTATTTTTTTTCTATTACTTACTATATTATCTGATTTGGACTTAAACTATTAAATTAATACTTTATTAAGTTTTTTGCAGAAAGATTAATAAATACACAAAATCAGTTAAATTAATCTTTTATTAAGTTTCTTTTGTATGTGTAATAAAAAATTCAGTAATTACACATACACATATATGATTTTATAATCATCTTAGTCAACATAATCAGATGGACATTCATATTTATATTCATATCCTTATAGTGGGAATTATTTGGCGAACTAGTATCATTATCATGGAGACAATCATAATGATTTCGAGCTTCATCGAGGTTTAATGTGGCAATGGTTTTGGCTCCGCAAGCTCTTAAATACTTACAATGAACATAGTTGAGACGATTTTTTTTTGTGATAGCGCATTTATAATAAGCGTTTTGGGATATGATGCATGAATAATAGTATTTATAACTATTAATTTTTTTCATGATTTTTTAAAATTTTTGGGTTTTTTATCTAGCATTTTGAACGTATCGTTCGATACCACGACATCACGCCGTGATTGATGTGTATCAGTTCCTTCCAAATCAATGATCGATACCACGACCTTTGAACCATGCTAGTTGTTGACAATTTTGAGCTTCCTACTATTGTTAGGAAGGGTATTAGAGCTTGTACTCAATACCATATTTCTCACTTTTCTCGTATGATTCTTGTGTCTATCCAGTCATGCCTTTGTTTCCTTAGGTTTGGAGAGAAACTTTGAAAGACCATAAGAGGAAATATGTTATTGTAAAGGAGATAAAAGTTCAGAGAAAGAATGACACTTGTGAGTTGATTTCTCTTCCAATTGGAAAAATGGTAGTTGGGTGTCAATGGGTGTTCATTGTTAAGCTATATATTAATGGGATAGTTGAGAGGTACAAAGTTAAGAGTTATTGCTATGAGATTCACTCAAACTTAAGATACTGATTATCAATAGACCTTTGCCTGTGTGGCAGTGATGAACTCCATACACACTTTCTTCTTTTGTGTCGCTAATCTGAGTTAGAGTCTGCAATAGTTAGACGTGAAAAATGCATTTCTTCACGGAGACTTTGGGGAAATGGATATGGAAAGTTCACCAGATTTTTCATCCCAATTAACAAAAGGAACAGTGTGTAAGTTAAAAAAGCATAATCATAATATGAAGCAGTCTTCCAGGGTTGACATATTTCTCAAAGCTAAGTTAATCATACCATAATCATCAAATATGATAATGACAAGAGTACTCTTTCCATTGTTTGGGTGGATGGTATAGTAATAACAAGGAATAATCTTAAAGCCATAGTTGTCAAATCGCATATCGGAAGGTGTATCATTTTTTAAAAATATTGTATCGTATCGTATTGTGTATTGTAAGATACGGCGTAATTTTAAATAATTAATAAAAAAATATATATGCTTTTAAAAAAAATTATAGACTCATAAAAATATAACATTTCATTAATATTCCACTTACTATTCAAGTCATCAATATAATTTACTAATATTAAAAAAATAATAAAGGGTATCAAATTAAATTAATAGTACTTATGTATACTTAAAAGTAAAAATTTATACTGTAGGGCGTATTAAATGTAATTCTTCATTCTTATAACACAAAAACAGTCGTGTGTCTCGTGTAACCCACGAACGAACACGGAGAACACAGAGAGAAGAGGCGACAGGCGATGTCGGTGCCGGAGAGAGAGAAAATAAGAACATACCTAGTGGTTAGTACCGCGTGGTCGCAGCTCACTGCGATGAAGAGAGAAATCGTGAGACAAAGAGAGAGAGATCGTAAGACACAGAGAGAGAGATCGTGAGACCTAGGGTTTCATCCGAAATTTACAGATTAGTGTTGTTATTTGTTCTAATTTCAAAAATTTGTTTGATTTGCTTTTGTTTGGGTATTTTTGTTGATTTGTGGATTTGGTGGACTGGTAATTCTTGTCTTCTTCATCTCTGTTGCCTTTTCTTTGGCATTTTCTCTATTCTCTGATTTGTGGGCTTGGATGTCTTCATCTCTGTTTTTGCTATCAACGATTTGGTGCGAATATGCGAATCAGGCTGTCAAAAAAAATAAAAATAAAAAATTAAACAAAGACTTTGCGTATCGTTTGTATTGACCGATACGTATAGTATCGTAAAAACGTATCGTTTATCGGACGATACTATACAAAAACGATACAAAACTCTAATTCGTATCATTTTACCTACGTATCGTGACGTATCATACGATACGTATCGCGTATCGTACGATACTAATAACTATACTTAAAGCTCATTCGGTTTTTGGAGTTTGAAATTAAAGACTTGTGTGCTTCAATATATGTTCTTGGGATTGAGAAAGCCAGGTCAGATAAAGGTATTTTTATAACCTATAGGAAGTATATTCATGGCTTAGTTGAAGAAACAAACATATTGGGCACTTACAAATTTTTTTACTGAAGCAAATCATCAATTAAGTGGTGGTGTGGTTAATGTATTTGATAAGGAGATATACCAAAGACGTGTGGGGAAACTCATGTCTTTCTCATACTCAGCCAAATATCGCTTATGCGGTTGGTGCTGTCAGTCAATTCATGCATAATCCTCATACCTCTCACCCTAAAGGTCTTTTTGTTGTATCTTGAGGTGTCTCAAGTTGGCCTCAGGAAATGGTATTTTCTGGTCGCTTAAAGCTAGAAATGTTTGTTGATGCAGATTGCATATGTTCAGTTCATGATAGACGATCTAGTTTAGGCTACTGTACCTTGATAGGAGAGAACTTTGTCATTTGGCAAGGTAAAAAAACAAGCCATGTTAGCTAGTTCTAGTGTAGAGGTTGAACATAGAGCAATGGCTCATGGCGTTTGTGAGCTAATATGGCTCCAGATCTTAATGAGAGATCTAGGAATCTATGATGGAACTATGAGACTGTATTGTGATAATTAGGCCACTATCAACATTGCTCATAATTTAGTTCAATATAATGGAACCAAACATATTGAGATTGATCGACACTTCGTCTAAGAAAAGTTGAATAAGAGTTTGATGGGCATGATCGGCATACTAGTTGGTTGATATTTATATATAGGGTCGTCTTATTAACAAGATTTTCACCACATTGTTTGTAAGTTGGGGTTGGGACATATCTATGCACCAACTCGAGGGAGAATGTTAATCTATACATTATTTGAGTTTAGAGGTTTTTCAGTACTTTGGTTAGTTGCTTATATTTATATATAGTTTAGGGTGTAGTTGTGTGACCTAATGTACTCATCCCTTCACATATCCTGATTCCGGGTCTTCTGCCTACACCCGGTGCAAATTTGAAGAAACCTCCTTTAGGAGGATTTCACTATACTTTTTTTTTGTATTTTTTTGCTCATTAATTCTGTCTGTAGGGAATGCCTGCTAGCATTCAAATATTTGCTTGTGGAAAGGATTCACAAAGTCAACCTGTTTCTCGGCGGAGTTTCTTCCGATGTTCTACGGTGAAACTGAGTTGGAACTATGGTTCTACAGGGCTTCTAGTTTTGGTGCAGTCAGACGTGGATAAAACAAACCAGAGTTACTATGGAGAATCCAAGTTAAACTACTTGACAACAGATGGAACTCATGATGGACTCGTGCCTCTTCGTAAGTTCTTTCTTCATATTTTTCTTTCTTCGTAGAATAGTATAAGAATCTCTTTGCAAATGATGGATTGTCGGAGATATTGGCAGGCAAAGAAGGACCAGTACATGATGTTCAATGGTCATGTTCGGGTAAAGAATTTGCAGTTGTTTATGGATGTATCCTTCTCTTCTCTTTCTATACTTCAGTGAAAGTTGTATAGATATAAAATTAGCAAGGTAGTTGCGAATTTGAAAGGCAGACTGTTAAATGTAAACAATTTGAAGGTTGAAGGCAGACTGTTACTTCTATCAGGATGGGCAGTTAGCTGAATGGAAAATCTTGCTGGAGGTCATAGACTTTGAGGACAGTTTACTTATGATGCAGTTGCAAATAGAAAATTGAGGCTGCCCATCTTTCAGTGGACACTCCTAAATGTCTGATTAATTTTGGAAGTACTTTGTTCTTTTTTGTTTCCTTGTGTGATTCATCCCACCCCCACCAAATAGATGCCAGATGATTGAAACATCATATGGTAGTGAAATAATGTGTGCTGACTCTCCCTTGGGTGGGTCTCAACCAAGGTGACCCTGCTTTTCTAAACATGTGCCCATGCATTTTCTTGTAGGTTTTGAGAATGCACACCAGAAGTCTGAGATGAGATGCAAAATTTTATTTCCTTTCTTGGATGCATTTATAGTTTTTTCCCCTTATTTATAAGAAAGAACTGGTAGTATATTTAAAGGATCTAGGAAGGGAAATATGGATAGTGAATGTTGCTTCTCAATCCTCCTTAGTCTGATGTGTATATTTTCACTGTTCCTTGACACGCTTTAGTTATGCCCGCAATGGCGACAGTATTTGACAAAAAGTGCAGCCCTCTACTCGAGCTTGGAACAGGTCCCTACAATACTATCCGATGGAACCCAAAAGGGAAGTGTATCCTTTGGTATACATACCACATTTTCCTTTTTTTGTTTTGGTACATTTCATAGCTATGTTTTATTCATTGTTTTGGGTGTTGGGTTTTTTTTTTTTGGGGCCCCGCATTGTGGGGGGGGGGGGGGGGGGGGGGGGGTT